CTCGAACCCGCGGGCTCAGGCAATCCACTCACCTCAGCCTTCCAAGGCGCGGGATTACAGGCTGAGCCACCGAGCCCGGCTGTGTTTTTAATCTTGAGCCACTAAAGACAAATAATGGTGGTGCTGGTGGTGGTGGTGGTGATGCCACTACGAGGGAAAGTGGGGATAATGGGGGTGAAACTGATGATGTTGATGATAGCAGAGTTAGGGGGTGCAGAAACAGCAGAATACACATTTCCAACGACTCCAGGACATCAGAGAAAGCAAACTCAGGTAGAGGAGAAAAAGAAAACCCACAAACGTCATTTTTGCCGACACTTTTAACCGCATTGTATCTCCAGACCTGTCAGATTGAACAAGCGTGAAGAAGAACTTGTTTAGGCTTCACGTCCTCATCTCCCTTCTGTCCATCCTCTGCTGGCCTTGAACAAACGGGGCTCCCCTCACAGCAGGAAAGCAGGAGTAGGCAGTGTGTCCCGGGAGCGTGCTGGGCTCTGGGGGTGCGACGGTGCTCAGGAAAGACCCATGCGTGGTCCCATGTGGCTGCTGTTGTACTGGATGGACAGCACAGTCCAGTCATCATCACAACGCTGCACGCTCGCGCCACGGCCTGTGCATGTCCCAGAGTGCTTCTGTGTGTACGCAGCTCATTTGGACGTCAGACAGGGAGATCTCACTGGACGTGCTAGGCTGCTTCTCTGCTGCTGGTATTTGTCGTCGTCAGATCTGTAGTCTCGCTAGTCACACGGGCCCTGTGCCGAGACGGGTGTGCCGCAGGGGATAGTGCCAAGTGGGTCTTGGGCACCCACGGAGAGCTGCTTTCCGTGGGGAAACTGGCGAAGGTCAAGGGGAGGGAGAGGTCCCAGCCTGGTGCAGGGCACAAAAGAGGCACCCGTCAGACGTCAGCTTTCTTTGCTTGCTGCAAAGATTTTGAAATGAACTTTGGGTGGGTTGGACTTCGGATTTGCGTGAAGTCAAAGATCTGTAGCTTGTGTTTCCCTCTGGCGTGGGCCAATTCTTACTCAGAATGTGTTAAAGAGGCTGCGTGATGTTCTAGAGAAAGCCGACGGCGCGTACGACGCCCGGCCTCCTGCAGCGCACCAAAAGGAAGCCATCCCGGGTAGCAAGACAACGCGTGCACTTGCGTCCTTGGCACACGGCACAGCTCCGGCTGCCTCCGCAGAAGGTCATGCCGGGACACGGGCAGGGCGGTCCTCATTCTACTTCCAGCCAGCTGTTGTTCTTCAGGGTTGTCTTGGCATCTCCAGCTCTCACATTGTTGTTTGTTTTTTGTCATTTGCTCTTCTCGGGGCTGACCGGCTGCTGGCCGACGTTGCCAACGACAGAGCCCTTCGAAGACGCCCTCAAGCACCAGCCCGCGGGGCCCAGGCTGAACAAGGCCGCCTCTGTGGAGTGCATCAGCCCCGTGTCGCCCAGAGCGCCAGATGCCAGGGTGCTGGAGGAGCTGATGGCGGAGCCCTGGTACCAGGGAGAGATGAGCCGGAGGGAGGCCGAGGGGCTGCTGGCCCAGGACGGAGACTTCCTGGTCAGGAAGAGCGCCACCAACCCGGGCTCCTTCGTCCTCACGGGCATGCACAACGGCCAGGCCAAGCACCTTCTGCTCGTGGACCCCGAAGGCACGGTGAGCTCGGAGTGGGGGTGGGGCGGGGCCCCGGCGAGCACACACTGGCCCTGAAGGGTCTCCCCTTCGGCACTTGTGCTTCGGTGGGTGTCTTGAACGACCACCACACTCCCTCCTCTCTCCACAAGCACCTGCCGGGTCCCGAGTGGAGCCCGGGGACCGAGGACCCATGCCTTCAGGTAAGAGCCAGGTGCCAGGAGTCCACATTCAGGGTCCCGTGCAAGTCATAAAAAACTTGGGCAATGATCATGGTCCAGGCTGACAGCCTTGACTTTCAAGTCGTTTTTTTGGTTTTTGAGCCAGGGTTGCACCCTGCCGCCCAGGTTGGAGTACGGTGGCACAATGACAGCTCAGCTCACCGTTGTTCTGTCTCCGCCTCCTGAGTAGCTGAGACTACAGGTGCACACCACCACACCTAGCTAATTTTAAAATTTTTTGTAGAGATGAGGTCTCACTGTGTTGCCCAGTCTGGTCTCGAACCCTGGGCTCCAGCAAACCGCCCACCTTGGTCTCCTAAAGTACTGGGATCACAGGTGTGAGCCACTGTACCTGGCCTTCATGTCTTTGAAAGTGCATAAATACAGAAACTGAGAACATTTCTCTTTCAAACACATTCACAGTGGACGAGGCAGCACAGGCTTTGGGCTGTTAGGGTTGCTCTCGAATATTTCTAAAAGTTGAATCGCTGTCGATTTTATTCCATGGCTGCGAAATGTGATGAGACAGTCAGGCCTCCGTCGATCAGTCTGCTGTCTTCCCGTTTAAAGGCGTAATGCCTGGTGCCACTGAGCTTGGCTACTCCCGGATCTACTCTTGTATCCAGACAGTCCATGGGTTCGGCTAAATTTCCGTCTTCCAGTCAATGAATACATTTGACTTCACCCCAGGCATAGTCTAAGAGTTTCTAAGTTTAATCAACGCAATTCCATCAACAACCCGATCGCTGAATGGATTCCAGGAATGTTGTTTAAAACCTTTGGCTCAGTGAAACAAAAAGGCGGGCAGCGTGGTTTAACTCATAGTTGAGAACCTGGCGTTTTCTGATAGATAGGCAGGGATGCCGCCCACGGCCCCAGCTGGACTGGAACACGGCTTCCCGTCTGGGTGTGGAGGGGCTTCCCGCAGCTGCCTGGACTGGGGGCATGAACGCCTCGGCTCGCAGCCCTTCGAACACCGTCTCCGCAGCGTTCCTCCTCCTTCTTTGCCGAAGCAGCCACTCCCCATAAGTATAATGTGCATCCTGTCAGTCCACCTTCTTTACTTTTTGTCTTACATATATGTACATCTGAGAAAAAAAAAATACAGTGTTTGTGCCTTCTAGAAATTTGCGAACGTGATATTGTTCCACAAATCCCACTTCATTTCTTCCTTTCTTCCCCAACACATATTTCTGAGGACTGGCGGTGGTGCTTCTGTGTGGGCGAGTCCTGAGCACGGGGGCCTGCCTGGGGCTCCGTCGTGTACCCGGCCCAGCGTTCCCTACTGAGCCCCCCTCATCAAGGACGTCTGAGCTCCTGCAAAGCCTCATGCAGGCTTTTCTCTGTTCCTAGGGGCAGTCTCTCTGGGACAGGGGCCGGGAGCGGAGTTTTTGGTCACAGGATATACTGTATTTAATTTCATTAGGGTTTGCATTTGCTGCCAGAACGGCTGAACTACGGAGGGACACACAGCAGATACCTCCGCTCTTTCTTGATAATACCTCTCTGGTCTTGCCAGTTTGTGGGTGTAAGAAGAGAAAGGAGACCTTGTTGTCTGATTTGCAATTCGCCAGTTGCTCTTCATGAGAAAATTAGCAGGTTTCTCCCGTAAATGTTATGTTCCTACATTTTCTCCCTGTTTTTCTTTTGACGCTCTTACTGGGCTTTCTTGTTGAGAATTTTAGTGATAGAATTTCCAGGTGTCCTCTTGCCTTTTTCACTGATCGGATCCTTCTGTCTGTGCTGGTCGTCATCAAATAGGAGTCTCTCTTTGGAGTGTTGCTGAATCCATCCGTTTTTCTCTGTGGTTTATGGTTTTGAGTTTTAAGATTTTCTTCACCCACAGACCACAGAAGCATTGTATTCTATACTTTCTTCTATTGACTTTATAGTTTGATCTTTCACACTGAAGTTTTAATTCTGACTGTACTTTTGAATATGATATGAAGTAGGGGCCCAACATTTAAAAAAGGCTCCATTTGACTTCACCCTGGGCATAATCTAAGACTTGGGAAATTATCGTGGTCCAGGCTGACAGCCTTGACTTTCATGTCCTTTTTTTTGGGTTTTGAGCCAGGATTGCACTCTGCCGCCCAGGTCGGATTACAGTGGCACAACCACAGCTCAGTTCACCATTGTTCTGCCTCAGCCTCCTGAGTAGCTGAGACTACAGGTGAGCCTGTTTTTCTGTCACTGATGTTCCTTCTATGACATACTCACTTCTCTGCATCATGGGTCTGTACCTGGACTCTGTTCTGTTCTATCGGTCAGACTGTTTAGTCCTTTTATAAATGCCATACTGTTTTAATTCATATGACTTTGAAACTGTCTCAGCATATGGTGGTTTGAATCCTTTCTCCTGATTCTCCTTTTTCTGAATTGTCTAAGCGATTCTCAGCCATTTATTCTTTATTCTGATTTTAGAATCATTTGTCAAGTCACCTAAAATACAAGCTGAGATTTTTATAGGACTTGCCTTGAATGTATGTAGATTAATTTGAGGGGGAAGAGACATTTTTCAACATTAGATCATCACATCCATGAATGTGGCATATGTCTCCACCTATTAGCTGTCATTTGATAGAGTTTTAAAATGCTTTCCTGGAGTCCTTCTGTTTCCTTTATTAGGGTCATTCTGTAGAGCGTCTGCTTTTAGTCCCTGTTGTTCATGGTTCGTTATTTTGAGTTTCTTCTTCCCAACCATCACTGCTGGGGGAGAGAAATGGGGTGTGACCTTGAGCCTGGACATGTTGACGAACACAGTAGGTTTATAGGAGCATGGGTCCTGCCATTGCAAACACCGGCAGTTTTGTCTCTTGCCTCCCAAAGCCCACCCTTACCTGTGTCCTCTCCCATGATGCTGACTGGTAGGGGGGCGCCTTCAAAGGTTGACCAGGGCCAGGCACAGTGACTCAAGTCTGTAATCCCAGCACTTTGGGAGGCCAAGGTGAGAGGATTGCCTGAGCCCATGGGTTTGAGACCAGCCTGGGCGACTAGGTGAGACCACGTCTGTACATAAATCGGAAAATGTACTGGATGTGGTAGCCCACACCTGTAGTTCCACCTACTTGGAAGGCTGAGGCGGAAGGATCACCTGGGCCTAGTGGGTCGACGCTGGAGTGGCCGTGAGCATGCCACTGCACTCCAGCCTGGGCAATGGAGTGAGACTCCAACCCCCCAAAAAAAAAGTTGACCAGAAGAGGACGCCCTTGTCTGTTCCCCTGCTTGAAAGGGAATTTTGGAGGTTTTATTCTGCTAAGAAAGATGTTTGCTGTCACCTTCTGGAGATTATCCTAAAGGACTTCATTCATTCACTTACTTATTAATTCACTCAACAGCTAGATATCACATGATTGAATGCATCCTAAGTTCAGACATTGTTTTTTGGTACCCAGGATGCTTCTGTGAACCAGTTTGAAACAGAAAGCTCTGCTCTCATGGAACTTAGAGATATGAATCATCTCCTTATTTGGATTATGTATAGGTATTGAACTCTAGCAGACACTTCTCCGGCGTCTTCTGAGGTAAAAATGCGGTTTTTAAAATCTACCAGCCTGGAGAATTATGGAGCTATATTTTTCTGGTGTCGTCAACTGTGCTCCATCTTGACGTAGTAATTGTGAAATACCGTGTCGGATTTGGGAACTGAGTATTTTTTTTAGGGTTTTTTGGAGTCAGTTCACAAGTGAAATCCACCTTAGCCGTCTCTGCTGCATCTGCCTGAATGTGCTCATCTGGTGTGGGCTTCGAGGTGATCTGGTTGCGCTCACCTCTTCCAAGGAGCCGGGCTCCCTCCAGGTTGGGCTTCTCTGATAAGCTTCCCAAACCTTCTCTTGGAAATGGAGATCCCCTGGATGTGCTCTGTTTCTGCATCCTGAGACTGAGATTTGCCTTGAAGGCCTTACCCCAGCAAACATCTGCTCCCTTGCCATTCGCTTGTGACTTGTCTCCTTCCTCCCCCACGCCACGCTCCGTGAGGGAGGCCATCTTGTGCCGGACAGCAGCACATAGTCGGTGTTCAGCGAGCCCTTGACGGACCCACATGTAGACCAGCCTGGACTTCTGCAGGGCAGGGGCTGAGCCTACAGAGGGGGTAGGGCGCTGCGGGTCACACACTGCCAGCAGACGTAGAAGCACAAAGTTTTCTGGGTGGAATCAGCCTGGCGTCGTCTCCATTTGCACAGACCATCTAGCGGTCCAGTGTGGCTGTTGGCAAATAAGAATTGGAGGGAAAATACTCAAGCGATTTTATGAGAATGTAAATATTTCAGTTGAAAATTTTAGATGTTTACAGGAATGAAAACTTTTAATATATTTAGATATGTCATCTTATTGACCACAGTTATTAACTTTTTTGTTCACTTAGTCTGCCTAGACCAAAAGCCATGTAGTCTTTTTTTTTGAGGCTATATATTTTTTAATGTTTTGCTTTACTGAGGTACAATTTATAATTTCACAAATTAATGAGAATTAAACCATTATAATAAAAGTAACTCATTTTAATTTTACACTTTGATGCGTTTTCATAATTCCACACAACCTTGTAACTTTCATAACATTCAAGATATAACAGTACAATCACCCTAAAACATTTCCTGGTACTTCTTTGCTTTGTAGTCAATATTGTCTCCCAACTCCCAGACCAGACAGTCACGGATCCTCTTTCTATTACTAGTTTTGCCAATTTTGGATATTCATATAACAAAGTATTTATACTTTTGAGTTTGACCTGTCTTTCACTTGCCGCCCATCAAAACAGGACTTGATAAAAAAATGTGGTTCATATACATGATGGAATATTAT